CTTGCCTGGTGTAATCGAAAGAGTGCCCTAAGGAAATCACACTGTACCTTTCCTAAACAATAACAGAGCTGGCATACGATACATGAATGAGATACTCTTAAGTCCACCCATGCTCACAGTATTAAAATGCCAAGCCCAGTTTTGTCTTAAATACTTGCTCTCATTTTTAATGTTAGTGGTATAGTTACGGTCTTAGAGAGTCAATATAAATTAGTGATGGAGATTTTATAGAGAAAAACCCTATCGTATTTCAGAAATTATTCTTGGCTAATCTTAATCCAGTGTTTCTAAGTGAGCAGGAGGCAAATGCTGGTTCACTCATTTTACATTCTCTGAAATTGTAACGAGTCAAAGGATACTTCCTCCATACACCCCAAGTCCCCCTTTCCTGAGTCTCCCGGCTGTGCTTAATCTTGAAGATCAGTGAAATATTCAGTTACCTTTTTAGTGACAAAGATTAGTTTGAAAAGCCTTAATAAGACACCTTCTTGACCAAACAAAGTTTGAAGGTGTCTTCAGAGAAGATCCTCCAGATGGAAGCAGATGGATCCCTGTTCCCATGTCTTGGACACAAGGGACACTTATTTCTTGAGTTAGTGTTGTGTTGGGATAGCTGTTGAAATCAGGCTGGGAAAGGTTTCCTGCCACTGTTTTACATGCCTGCAAGTGATAGGGAGTTTGCTGCTGCTTGTGTGAATTCCAGGTCCTGACTGTTTTATTTTCTGTATTTTTGTTTGAAGGATAACATCAAGATTGAAGCTTTCTATTACTACTGACTAAAAGTGTAGTTAATGTGGGCCTAATGCTTTGATAGGGGAAAAAAATCCCCAAACCAGATGCTGGTGTTAATTGGATGCTGAATCGCTTCAAATCATTCATTAGGTACATTGTTCCCAATCACCTGCAGTTTCATTTCAGTCAGAAAGTGATATGATAATCTTTTTTTAATTAAGGTGACATTATAAATTAACCTGTCAATAAAATGGCATTAACTTTTTCAGCAGTGCAGTTACAAGTGGATGGATTCATAGCACTGTTCTTTAGCCAAAAGAGAAATATTGGATCCAGTGCTGAGTTGTTAAATACTAATGAATAATTTATTTAATGAATTTTGTCTTCCTCTGTTCATGGTGTGACTGGCAGAGCACCAGTCTTCTCCAAATGTTCTGTTGTTCAGAATTACTCTGATTTTTGGGGCCTTATTACTTCAATTTGCTACCTAAGTTTCTAACTCCTTTGCTGTATTCTGGACTAGGTAAGTACCTTATCTGTTAACCTCCCTGATCTGGCTGAGATATATTTTTGTATTATAGATTTTGGTGTTAATGCATATGATTAATTAGGTTGGGGTTTTTTTGTTTTTGTTTTTTTAATTCAGCTTCTGTGGAAGCTTAGCATGTATGTTCTCTAAACCTAATTGTGTAAATGATCATGAAAGTGAATGTGCAGTGGCTCAGACATCAAAGTGAATTAAAAATATGTCGAACTGCAGAATTATTTTATACTATATCTGTTTGGACTCAGTTTATTATTCTCTTTTACGAGATTAATAGGTCTTTTGGAAGAAAAGTGAACTATCTCCAAAAGCATTAGTGGAAGAAATTGGCTTTCACTGAACATCTAGTGTAAAGAAATATGTAATAAAATTCTTTCCAAGATTCATAAATGCTTGTACTAGAGGAGTCAAAGCTGTAGGTCCAGCTGTTTATTACTGAACTGTTGATTGCTGAAGCAACTCATTAGAAGATGCTCTGCATGTTTAGTATCTTTTGACCAAATTTAAAACCAAAACAAACTAAACACTATGAAGTATTCTGTTGTACCGTGCTGCAGTGAAAATGAAATTCTGAGTCCATGGAAGTGGAGGCTGTATTGGCACGGGGATTTTGCTGGAAGCATTGCTGAGGTGATCCTGAGGTGTATGTGGAGTTGGCGAGTGTCATCGCTGCTTTTGTTCATGGGCTGCTGCTCCATTTTAAGCTCATGTGCTCCTGCTGCTGGCTTGCCCCATGCCCTACAGTGATCTGGTTTTCAGGAAGACACTTGACATTTTAAGAATTTTTTGTGCTTATTTTTCTCTGTCTGTCATCTTCTGACATTTGCACACGATTTAGAATTGTGACATTACTGTCCTTACATCTTCCTATATCATCTGCTTCTTGAAAGCTACCGAATCTGCTTCTGTTGGAAAAGATTTTGTTTTGTCTTTTGTTTCTGTTTCCTTCTCACAGACAAGTTTAGAGGTTGTTACTGAGGTCTGAGAAGGTGTTTTTCCTTTTTAAATATGAAAGAGAGGGGCACATGCGGGAGCTCATGTGTAGACTTGGACAGAGGCAGAAGGGGAAGGGCTTTGGTATTCATTGCTGGACCTCTGCTGGGAGCAGTTGTGGGGCCAAGGTCAAAATATTTCAAGTGCAAATATGGTTTGCTTAGTCCTTAAACACAGATTGTTTGGCTTACCTGGTCACAGACAATAGCTTTTAACTGGTCTTTAAAATCAATTGGTGCAATGATTTTCATGGCACACTGGCTTTTACTGAAAGTCTCTGTCCAGTAGGAAGCCAAGACCCAGGTCCTTAACGTACTTGCTTTGAGCAGTAGTCAATTATTTGATCGCTGGCTTTTTTCCTGCCAACTATTTCCATGACGTTATATGTGGTGTTAACCCACAGGCATATTGGAATGCTGAAGTGGAATTTTTTTTAATTACTATTTTTGATTGATTTGAGAGGGCATGGTGGGGCATGAAGATCTAGTAGTGAAGATTTAAAAAAAACAACCAAACCAAACAAAAAAAGCCCCAGGCCACAAGGATCACAGAATCACAGAATTGCCTAGATTGGAAAAGACCTTTAAGATTGAGTCAGTGAGATTGAGCTGCATTTATTCTCCCTTTGCAAAATATAATAATTACTTTTTAGTCCTTATTTCCTGCCTGAATAATTGCATTTTGTACTCAAATATGTGTTCTTCTGAATTAATCTCTTCCTAATGGATTTCCTGCTTAACTGCATTTCTTCTTCTATGCCCTTCATAGTAACATAAATATTTCTGTTCATCTCCTGTTACTTACTTTTTGTATATTCCCCTGCAGTTCATACATTTCAGCAGCACTCTGAAGTTTTCCCTGAGTTCACTATAGGTACCAGAGGTTGTTGATTTTCTGTCAGTTGGAAGTTTCACCTATTTTAGTGAAGACTAGGCAAATTCTCTGTTACTGTATAATATGCAGTGAGGGCAGGAGGAGAACTAATATTGCTCAGGGACTTCCAAAGGATCCATAGCCTCGAGGAAAATGTGGATTAAATAAAAGAAGTATTTATATTTTTTTACATTTCTAGTGGTGCTGTGACTCACCAAGAGGCAAAAAAAGAAGTTGATTTTCCTTAAGCCTCTTGGAGAGGCTGTGTATACACTTTGCTTAGGTTTTTGAATGGTAAGTAGAAAACTAAAGGTTGGCCAGTGTGGGGTTTCGTCCTAAGTGGAGGAAGCTGCTCTCAGCTCAAAAAGAGAGCAGGCTGTCTTCTCAGGGGAGGTAAAAGGGAAATACTTTGCTAGATTTTGTGCTCAGAAGGGAGTAAACCTGGTTGCCCAGTGCTGGGGGAGCCTGAACATCGGAAAATGCTTTACTTGAGAGAGTGATCTCTCCTTCTCTGGCAAAAATATATTCTTATCAATTTAAATTAGCACCATTTTAGCATCAAGAAAGAAAAGAGTTCTTGATTTTGGCGCTTGGAAATATGAGTGCAAAACTATTTTCTTAGCATGGTTTTGCATGCTATGTGGAGAGGTAGCTGTGTGCTGGTCTGCTGTCAGCCCCTTTCTCATCTCTCTGTTGCTTTTACAGACCAATTGTAGGAGGCTCCACTTCTTCTGATTTTATTTTTCAAGTTTAAGCTTGTCTGGCCTACCTGTTAGGGATTTTAATCTTGAAAACCAAAGTCTTTTTTCTACAGGAGAGCTTGGGTGTATTTTGAACTGCATGTGTCTAAGTGAAGGTCTTTGGCTTTGGTGAATGGATGTGTTTTGGCCATTCATGATTGATTTAGCTGCCAGCCTGGAGTTACTAAATGAATGGAAATTCTCTGAAAGAGAGACAGCGCCAACAGGGAAGTGCCTATTCTGAGCTTGCCTCTTATGCCAGACAACAAAAATGTTGTGAAGCTGCATAACACTTACATTGTGATTAGCTGCATCACTTATTCATGTTCTGCAAAATAAACACATTTAGATGGTCGACCATGACAAGCATTTCAAGAGGTAATGGTCTTTAAGCATCAGCAGAGACATAATTAAGCTGAATATTGAAAAGAGATTCACAGCTGAGTACAGTTAATCAATGAAATGGGTTCTCAGAAAAGCCAGTGATGTTCCACATCAGCTTTCAGTTCTATATTTTTGGGTCCAAGAAGAATGTAATTAAGTGGTGGAGACCAGCCTTCTGAACCTTGATGTGGACACTAGCCATCCATTAACCCACTGTCTCTGAAGCCTTTTAGGGAGCTGCTGTGCTCTAACCCTGTTTTGGGATGGGGACAGGGCAGGTTAATTCACAAGGTGAGATGGTATTCTGTCATTTACAGGAAGAAGGATTGGGATTGCTAATAGAAAGTTGATGATGGTATGTTCAGCAGTCAAGTAGTGCACAGTGGCATAGCGGTCACAGGACTAATCCTTGGGCTTTTCCTTAATGAGAGGAAATGTAATTTTCCACAAGAAGAAATTTTATGCTACCACGTTTTAGCTATGAATGCCTTGGTCTTCAGAGCATTCACTGTGAGCCTATAATGTTTTAATCATAGTTGCATACTTTAATTGCTTGATCTCCTGGTTTTACAAACACTGGTCTTGTGGCAGCAAATTGATCAAACTCTGAAGTTTCACTTTCTGCATGGTGGTTAAGCTGATGGAATGAGCCATGGACAGGCTGCTGTCATCTGAACCGGTCTGCTAATTTTGGGTCATTGGAAAGGGACAGGAGAAACCCAATGGATCCAATTGTGCTTGCTTTGGCAACACATATACTAAAACTGGAACAATAGAGAAGATCAGCATGGCCACTGCACAAGGATGGCATGCAGATTCATGAAGCATTCCGTATTTTAGGGAATTGGTCACAGCACCAAACCTGTCAGAGTTCAAGGAGCATCTGGACGATGTTCTTAGTCATATGGTTTAATTTTAGGTAGTCTTGTCAGGAACAGGGAGTTGGACTTGATGATCCTTATGGCTCCTTTCAAATTTGAGATATTCTATGATTCTTATGAACAGCAGGGAAAGGGAAAAGATAAAAAAAAGTCAAGATGGCAGAGTGAAGTACAAGGAAACCACAAAGTAAAATGAAAAATAAGAGGTTACATAGCAAAACGAGAGGTTGGAAAGACTAGCAGAAGTGATGGAGAAAGATATTAAATAAATAAGGAAATTAAAGGTGAAGAGGAATGCAAATAAGTGAAAATCAGAGAACCAAATTGGGAGAGGAGGAGGGGAAGAAGGCAGCAGTGATTTAATAGTGGCACACTTTATTTAAAAAAAACAAACAAACAAAAAAAAACCAAACAGTGATAAAGATTATCTGTTAACAGCTGTGCAAACATGCAAAACCCGCTATTGGGAGAATTTCTGTTATGCATATTAGCAGATGCTTCACTTGGAATGCTTTATATAAGCCAGTCTTATATATTGACCCTTTCTTTTTAAAGATAGCTTGGGGACAGTGGTCTGGCACGGTGAGGATGGTGGACTTGGAAATTCTCTCTCCTATTCTATATTACTACTAATGTACAGGTAAGCTGGTAGTCTAGAATGGTACTGAACCTTTACCATTAGATGCAAGATAGATGCTAAGTAAGTCTCTGTGCTTAAATTCCTTTGAGTGCCTTCACCTTCCCTTTGACCAGTTAGAACGAGTCCAGAGGAGGCCATGAGGATGATCCGAGGGCTGGAGCACCTCTCCTATGAGGACAGGCTGAGAGAGTTGGGTCTGTTCAGCCTGGAAAAGAGAAGGCTCCGGGGAGATCTTATAGTGACCTCCCAGTACCTGAAGGGGCTACAGGAAGGCTGGGGAAGGTCTTTTCATAAAGGCAGTTAATGACAAAACAAGGGGAAATGGGTTTAAGATGAAAGAGGGTAGGTTTAGATTAGATATTAGGAAGAAGTTCTTCACTGTGAGGGTGGTCAGACACTGGAACACGTTGCCCAGAGAAGCTGTGGATGCCCCCTCCCTGGAAGTGTTTAAGGCCAGGTTGGATGAGGCTTTGAGCAACCTGGTCTAGTGGAAGGTATCCCTGCTGATGGCAGGGGAGTTGGAACTAGATGATCTTTAAGCTCCCTTCCAACCCAAACCATTCTATGATTCACCCCCCACTCCTCTCACGTGGAACCACTTTTGTTTTGATATAAATTTTTGCTGTTTTGTTTTTTCAGACTCCAAAGCCTGACATTGTTAGGTTTTTCTCCAGAAAGCTGAAGACTGGAAAAACTTGAGTTAGAAATAAAGAAAGGTTACATTTTACTGTGTAAACTATGTATGTAATTAAAAGTAGCCAGAGGGAGAAGAGCCATGTTTCTGGATGCTTATACTAAAGAAGAAAATCCTGACTTGTGTGAGTTATTGTAGCTACACTGCTGGCATCTTTATGAATCAGGAACATAGGAAATAAATCTGTCATCTGTTTTGCTTTTCAGTTGATTTGTAACTACTTACACCCAACTTCTCATCTCTATTGAACTTTTACCTTGGGTAAAGTGAAGAAATAGAATGAATGCATTATTGTCTTGAGGAATTATGATGCTTCCAAAGTAGTGTGTGATTTGGCTAGGTACACAGTGGTAGAGTAACTTTATCTCTGAACAGTCTTATTTATTGTTAGGAAAAAGAACTTGAAAATTGAAATCTGTGGTGTTTCAGAGAGTAAGATGTCAAAGTGCTGTTGAAATTCAGTGGAATTTTGGTGACTAAATTAGTTTTTGAAATTTCTGGTCTTTAGACTCACAGAGCTGTAAAGTTCCTCTTGCAGTCTTTTGTTTTGCTTTGGTTTGCGCTGTCACCCAGTCTCCTCTTCATGTTTTTGAACGATCACCCTATAGTAAATCAGACCTAAATAGATGTATACCCGTAGAGAACCTCTATCAGCTGTATGAGAATTAATGTAGATTCATACATATTAACAAAATGGTCGGTTAGTTTTCTTGGCTAGTTTAAGTGGTACTTTGTATTGCCTTTTGAGTAAGTGCTTTCCAAGATCACGTCTTTTGAGAAGTCTTTGTGTCTGTCCTTTCTGATTACATTTGATAGAGTACTCAGTTAAAGGATGATTTGGTGATCTTCTAGTAACAAATTTCTATGAGTAAAATTGGTATTTTGCGAGTATTCCTATGCAGCATGAGAACTGATGGTTGTTTCCCCCTCCCCATCCCTCACTAGCTAGATATTTTGACAAGGTTTCATATGAAACATCAGTACCTACATTCTTGAAGTTGAGGGTTTAACTGAGGGTTGACGATAGGTGGTCAACATAATCTTTTGAGTTTCTGCAGACAAGCATGCAGCTGCTGCTGCATTGAGTGGAAACCTTTGTTGGTACAAATAGGAAAGTGCAATCTTCTTCAGTTATTTGTTGGTGTGTAGGATGGTATGTGACCTGGAATGAAACTGGGCCATGGCTGGGGCCTTCTGCAGAGGACGAGCATGGCCATGTGACAGAGATTGAAAGTCCTGAAGTGGTTTAGTCCCTGTTTTACTTCCATTTGTGAGTTAATAGCAGAAAAGAGGACTTAGAGATTTTAACTCCCTTGGTTCAAGGGCGGGAAATGGAGCTTAGGGTAATAGAACAACTGCTGTATTGTGCATACGGGTGGTGCTTCCAGTTTGAGGTCTCTGAATACTGCCTCCTGACTGCACATCTCTGCTCATTATGATTAAAAGTAAAGCAGTTGAAAAGAGGAGTTTCCTCAATATGCAAAATAGAAAAATCTTGATCTGAATGAAAAACACATATTACTTTTCCTGGAATTATTCAGCGAGGGACATATTAGAAAGAGGGTGGCTTCTTAGCTCAGAAGAAAAATGAACAAATCAAATATTGAACTACCAGGTAGTTGACTTTCAGTTCTTAGATTTATCCCTCCTACACATGTCTTATCTCATATCTATAATGTTAATTAAGTTGTATTGCAGTCAGTAGTCTTCAGCAGGTCTAATTTTCATCAAATGGAATGTATGTTCTTCAGTCCTTCAATCTATGTCTTCTACTTCAGGTAAGGGAAAAAAGGAATATTTTTATTGTCTGGGATTTTTTAAAATTGTTTTTCTTGTTTTATTTGTGTTGATTTTGTTGTTGTTGTTGTTGTTTTTTTTTTTCCCATTGACTTGAGGGGAGAGGAGTATTTGATAAAAGGATGCCTTAAGCTTTCACCCCACCTCCGTATTGAAAAACCACAAAACCCCCGTATTTGAAGAGGCAATAATTAACTTGCAGCAATCCATTTTGAATAGGAACAAATAGGGAACTAGCTGGTACTGAAAATCACTAATAGGTGATTAAATGTTGAATGAACAGAAATTTGACAGTTGCTCCTCTACCTAGAAAGCCCTTGATGCTCTGTTTCCCCACCAGGTAGGCCTTTCCTTAAGAGTATGGAAGTAGAGTGCACATGGAAAAAGCAACTCTACCTATATAGAAGGAAGATATTTTAATTCTTCATTGCAAGTGTGAACTGCAATCAATAAAATGGGGGGAAAAAAGATACCAAATGAAAGTGCTGGAGGAGTAGTTCAGCAAACACTTATGCACATGACTATCTTAGATGTAACTAATTAACCATATGAGCCTTTGCAAACATCCGCATGTATTGCATAAATACTCAAGATGAAGCCAGAAGGTAGAAAAATTAAATCTTGGATCATGCAAGAATAGCTCATAGTTTATTACACTACCTTTCAATTTGAAACTGTTGTATTTATGTTTATAATTTATAATTAATATAATTCTCTAGAGAACATTACTTTGTCATAGCTTAAGTTTCCAAAATTATGTCCTTAAATTTACAGTTTTTCTGTAATACTATTGCCATGTCTTTGCTTTCCTCTGGAGATGCTCTTATTGCAGATTTCATTGGGGACTAAACAGAAAGAAATGAGCTTCCTTGTCTTTATTTCCCAAAAAGATTAATTACCATCTTTGCATGACGTTATCTTCTTTTCATCACTAAAAACATAAGTAGGTAATGGAATGACATCAACAGCAGATAGATAGAATAGAAAGACTTGTGAAAAAAACCTTCCATAATATTTTCTTCTTAGCATCTTACTCCACTGCTGAATGTTTTCAAAAACAAAGTTGGTTGGAGTTGTGTGTCTTCTTACTCTTTCTAAATAACCAACAGTCCTGCTTCATAAACTTTAAGCAACACCAAGAATTTAAGCAGGTTAATTTTGTCACACTGGGAATGGTGTCAGTTTGGCATATCAGCCCATAGAACCCCTGATGACTTCCATGATAACTCCTCAACAGAGCATGCCCTATTGTGTTGCAGCTATTAAGAAAATTTTGTTTCCAGCAGTATGAGACATTTCTGAAATTCCTACTGTGCTTTGTAGGGTTACGTCAAGGGGGAACCCTTCTCTGGGTCGCTGAGCGATCAGGGAGATCAATCCAAGACAGTCAGTGGAAATGTGTGGTGTATACCCACCCACCCTGAACCAAGCAGTCACACACCCCAGAAAATTCCTGAGGTCAGTCCTGCAGCATAAGTGGTGATAAAGATACAGTGTTTTAGTAAGGACATAGTGATAGAATGATAAATATGGTCTTGAGAGGAGTGAATATTAGGTGTATCATGAAAAGAATAAAAAGAAACAAATAAATGGAAAAAGCAAGGAAAATACAGAAGCATCAAGATGAGCTATATTTTTAAAGCTTCATTTTATTGAACTTCTATTGTTATAACAAAGATGATAGTGAAAAGTTTTGCCATAGATAGTGCTTTTCTCAAACTCAATGTTTCTGAAAGATTTTAATTTAGAATGTCAGCATCTCTATCCCATTACTTGTAACATGCCTTTTTATTATGACTAGGGAACTGTATTTAAAGAATAACTTTT